CCATTGTATATATATACCACCTCTTCTTTATCCATTCTTCTGTTGATGGACATCTGGGTTCTTTCCATAGTTTGGCTATTGTGGACATTGCTGCCATAAACACTCGGGTGCATGTGCTCCTTTGGAGCACCACGTTTGTATCTTTATGATATATACCCAGCAGTGCAATCGCTGGGTCATAGGGTAGTTCTATTTTCAGTTTTTTGAGGAACCTCCACACTGTTTTCCAGAGTGGCTGCACCAGCTTGAATTCCCACCAGCAGTGTAGGAGGGTTCCCCTTTCTCCACATCCTCGCCAGCATCTGTCATTTCCTGACTTGTTAATTTTAGCCATTCTGACTGGTGTGAGGTGATATCTCATTGTAGTTTTGATTTGTATTTCCCTGATGCTGAGAGATGTGGAGCACTTTTTTCATGTGTCTGTTGGCCATCTGGATGTCTTCTTTGCATAAATGTCTATTCATGTCCTCTGCCCATTTCTTGATTGGATTATTTGTTCTTTGGGTGTTGAGTTTGCTAAGCTCTTTATAGATTTTGGATACTAGCCCTTTATCTGATATGTCCTATGCAAGTATCTTCTCCCATTCTGTCAGTTGTCTTTTGGTTTTGTGAACTGTTTCCTTTGCTGTGCAAAAGCTTTTGGTCTTGATGAAATCCCAATAGTTCACTTTTGCCCTTGCTTCCCTTGCCTTTGGCGATGTTCCTAGGAAGAAGTTGCTGCAGCTGAGGTCAAAGAGGTTGCTGCCCGTGTTCTCCTCAAGGATTTGGATGGATTCCGTTCTCACTTTGAGGTCCTTCATCCATTTTGAGTCTGTTTTCATGTGTGGAGTAAGAAAGTGGTCCAATTTCATTTTTCTGCATGAGGCTGTCCAATTTTCCCAGCACCATTTGTTGAAGAGGCTGTCTTTTTTCCATTGGACATTCTTTCCTGCTTTGTCAAAGATTTGTTGACCATAGAGTTGAGGGTCTATTTCTGGGCTCTCTATTCTGTTCCATTGATCTATGTGTCTGTTTTTGTGCCAGTACCATACTGTCTTGATGATGACAGCTTTATAATAGAGCTTGAAGTCTGGAATTGTGATGCCACCAACTTTGTCTTTCTTTTTCAATATTCCTTTGGCTATTTGAGGTCTTTTCTGGTTCCATATAAATTTTAAGATTATTTGTTCTATTTCTTTGAAAAAAAATGGATGGGATTTTGGTAGGGATTGCATTAAATGTATAGATTGCTTTAGGGAGAATAGATATTTTCACAATATTTGTTCTTCCATTCCATGGGCATGGAACATTTTTCCATTTCTTTGTGTCTTCCTCCATTTCTTTCATGAGTACTTCATAGTTTTCTGAGTACAGATTCTTTGCCTCTTTGGTTAGGTTTATTCCTAGGTATCTTACGGTTTTGGGTGCAATTGTAAATGAGATTGACCCCTTAATTTCTCTTTCTTCTGTCTTGTTGTTGGTGTATAGAAATGCAACTGATTTCTGTGCATTGATTTTATATCCTGACATTTTACTGAATTCCTGTACAAGTTCTAGCAGATTTGGAGTAGAGTCTTTTGGGGTTTCCACATAAAGTATCATATCATCTGCAAAGAGTGATAGTTTGACTTCTTCTTTGCCAATTTGGATGCCTTTAATTTCTTTTTGTTGTCTGATTTCTGAGGCTAGGACTTCTAGTGCTATGTTGAATAGCAGTGGTGAGAATGGACATCCCTTCCATGTTCTTGACCTTAGTGGAAAAGCTCTCAGTTTTTCTCCATTGAGAGTGATATTTGCTGTGGGTTTTTCATAGATGGCTCTTATGATATTGAGGTATGTACCCTCTATGCCTACACTGTGAAGAGTTTTGGTCAAGAAAGGATACTATACGTTGTCAAATGCTTTTTCAGCATCTATAAAAGTTGGGTATTCATCCTTTCTGATGAGGCATAATATTCCTTTATATATATGAACCATATCTTCTTTATCCATTCGTTCGTTGAAGGGCATCTTGGTTCTTTCCACAGTTTGGCTACTGTGACCATTGCTGCTATGAACATTGGGGTACAGATGGCCCTTCTTTTCACTCCATCTGTATCTTTGGGGTAAATAGCCAGTAGTGCAATTGCAGGTCATAGGGTAGCTCTATTTTTAATTTCTTAAGGAATCTCTACACTGTTTTCCAAATGCTTATGTTTTCCATTAAGATAAATGACTGAAGGTAATTGTGTATCTTTTTATGCTTCCCTGCTATACTTGACTTGATTGGATGATAGGATATGTACTGTGTCTGTGACTGTACACAGCCACAAGGACATGGAATCTGCAAAAGTGTTTTTCAGATGGGAAAATACCAGTTATGGAGACCCAGGGATGGCCTCCAGACAGAATTGAAATGTTAACAGTCTTNTGAAATGTTAACAGTCTTTACCACTGAGAGCAGGGTTGGTAATAGTCAGGATTTCCTTTAGCAAGCCGCCTTTATGTATCACAGCATGAGGTGGTAGAAAGTCTTTTTTGGAAGTACTTGGCTTAGAATGTTTTCCAAACTATGGGTTGTAAAATAAGTTTAGTTGTTCATTGAAAAAAAAAAATAGAATAAGAAGTAGTATATATCTAAAATTAAAAGGGTAAGCTTGAAATTACACAAAGTAAGTTCAGCATATACTGGCTAAGACAAAAGCTACAGATAAGTGTAGAAATAAAAGACACACTGTATTTTTTAAATCAAATTTTGTATAGCAGGGCAAAAATATAATTTAGAGTAAAACATAAATTTTGGGGATGAAATAACATGAAATCAAGGGTTTGCTTTAAAATGCTACAGGGAGTGCCTGGGTCACTCAGTTGGTTAAGTGTCTAACTCTTGATCTCAGCTCAGATCTGGATCTCAGGGTCATGGGTTCAAGCCCTCCACTGGGCTCTGTGCTGGTGTGGAGCATACTTACAAAAAGTTTAAAAAATGAAATGCTGTGGAAGAAGAGAGGAAGAAAAACATGGAAGGAAGGAAGAGGAGCGAAACAAGGACAACAATATAATATACTGTGGGAAACAGATATATGGGGTTTGTTTTACTGTTCTGTTTACTTTCATGTATGTTTCATAACACACTTAAAGACTCAAAAATAGAAGGAAAAAGTGGGTGTTATAAATGTTATGTCATGTTTTGGGTTCTGATCATGTTTTATCTCTTATAGGTACTTTTATTTATGTTAGTTGGAAAAACAGGGTGTGTAATTAGTTCTTAACTGGTAAGTAGCTCTTTAGCTCTAGGGTCCTAGAGGAGACCTCACTGGCTCTGCCTGTTACTGCAGTCCCCAGCAGCAGGGATTCAAGACCAGTATACACGTGCACACGTGCCTTTGTGCACACGGGACAGAATTCTAGATACAACCTCAGAGCAATGAAACAGCTTTGGCTATTCCTGAATTGAAATCTTTTGAACAAGCACTTTCAGAGGGAAAGAAAATCGATCCCAATGTCTGACAGCATCTTTATACCAAGTACTGCCATGAACAGGTTCTTCATGGACTAACTTCTTTTCTTTTGCAGGAAGAACTGGAACAATGATTTGTGCCTACCTTATTGCCAGTGGAATATTTACAACTGCAGAGGTAGGAAAGATGTTACTACAGATGATCTTGTGCTGACTGAATCTGATAGTTCTGAAACCTCAGTGGTAGGATGTTAAAATGGTTCTTTGAGTCGTGGTACTTAATGAAGGTGTAATTAGAGATCCACTTATTAGAAAGCCTCGTTTTGATATGTCCTTGTTTATTTTTTTTTCCAAAATTTTCTTTACATTCTATTTAGTTAATATACCACATTTCCTAGTTTAATTTGCACTGGTTAGTAACTGACCTAGGTGCCTCTTTGGGCCAGAGCTAGGGTGAGGTCAGTGAGAAACTCCCCTCAGGCACAAAATTTAAGGGAATGCCAAAATTAAGAGAAATAATCGAATGCAGTATGTTTTAAAATCAAGATTAATGGAAAAAAATCCATGATGTCTACAGTAATACCAACATTTTAAATAAACGTAGGGTCTGTTAGGGACAGGATTAAAGGGGGGGTGTAAAGTCAAGCTGTCCAAGTGTAAAACAACTCCACAATTATAATGCCTCCTACAGCTCAGTTGCTCCCAGCCCCATTCTTATGCCCCCAGTTAGGGGACGGTCTCCTTCCTCACAAGAATAATATCAAGATTGGTTTGGTAGGTTCTCCCAAAGGACCTCCAACATCCTTAGAAGCACTAGGTAGGTAAAAGGTACATTTTCCAACGCAGAACAAAATCTCTCCTTGATGTTATTAACCTCTCATAGTCAATATCTATGGGATCTCTTGGAGACTGGGCCCTCTGAAAATTTCTGCAGAGACAGGGTGTGCTATTTCCAGTTCTTAAAGTGGGGTTCTCAGTCTTATTTCTGCCATGATTGTGCTGAGAAGTTCCCACTGAATGGACATGGCCAGCAACTCTGCTCCCCATTTGGCCAGCAGTCTGAGAAGAGAAACTTCGGATTGTCTCCAGTGCCCCACCCTCTGGTGCCACCATCTACTTTATTCCTAATTTGAGACTCACAGGTTAGGAAAATGGAGGCTCTTCCCCAGTGTTTTCCAAACTGGGTCCAATCAGTGAATTGTAAAGTCAACTTGTTGGGTTGTGACTAGCGTTTTTAAAAATAAAATGGACTAGATTCGAATAGAAAATATCAAAAGGTAAGTATTGATTTGTGAGACTTTGGTTTCAGTTGTATGTGAGTGCGTGTTTGTGCAAAAACCTTGATACGATTTTTTTTGTTGTTAACTTTAGTTTGAATAACCTCTGCCTAAAGGCTGCAGACTTAAGGAAATAATGTGCCCTTAGAACCTTTAAGAATGCCTTCCACAGGAAAAGAAAGTGCATGTGAGCCATGACTGTGTTGCCCCCTTTTCCGTAGGAGAGCCTTTATTATTTTGGAGAACGGCGAACAGATAAAAGCACCAGTACTAAATTTCAGGGAGTTGAAACCCCTTCTCAGGTAAGTTGTCATTCTTAAAAGGGGGGACTTTTGGGGGAGTTCAGCACCCATTATTTGGTTTCACTGTGCACTCTTTTCCTCTCGTGATTGGGCCGCTCCACTCTGGTGCCTGTGACAGGCCTGGATCCCTCCCAGGACCAGAGAGCCATGTCTATGAGTACCCCCCCCACACACACACACCCTGCCCTGGGGATTCCTGCTCTCCATTTAACATTGGTCACTACTTACAGAGTTCAAGAGTTGATTCCTTACCAAAGTGGAAAGGTCTAATTTCTAAGATTCCAGACTCGAAGATTATGGAAAATCACTAGCCTTTGATTTCTCTCTGAGAGGAAATGAGTCTTTCACAAACCCCTACTTGGGCCATTCACCTCTTGCAGAACATCTTGTGTGTGTGTGTGTGTGTGTGTGTGTGTGTGTGTGTGTGTGTGTGTGAGAGAGAGAGAGAGAGAGAGAACCAAAGAAAGAGACGAGGGGGCTGCTGTATTTTGAAAGAAAAAGGGGAAATTAACATCTTACCAAACCTATTCTATTCCAGACACTATTATACTTTGACATATATTATCTCATTTAATACTCAGAAAATCCATGTGAAATATATGCAGTTACCCTATTTTATCCTTTAAAAAATATTTTATGGTGAATAATTTCAAACATAAAAAGCTGAGACAATCCTATAATAAATCCCCTTATAGTCCTCGCACCACTTCAACCATCATTTTATCGTGTTGCATTCATTCCCTCCCCACTCTCCTCACACGCGCGCACACACACACACACACACACACACACACACACACACCCCTTCTCCACAGAACCCAGATGGCTGTGGAGGAAATCCCAGTCATCGGGTCATTTTATCTCACAAGTATTTTAGTGTGACATTCACATAGACTCTCAAGGGTAAAAATACCATGACACCATTGATCATATCTAAAAATATTGTATCTTAAGGGGCACCTTGGTGGCTCAGTTGGTTAAGAATCTAACTCTTAATTTCAGCTCAAGGTCATAATCTCGGGTCATGAGATCAAGCCCTGCAATGGGCTCTACATTCAATGGGGAATTCTGCTCGAGATTCTCTCTCTCCTTTACTTCCACCCCTCTGCCCCTCTAAAACAAATCAATAAATCTTTAAAAAATAAAAATAAATAAAAATATCATACCTTGGGGCACCTGGGTGGCTCAGTGGGTTAAGGCTTCTGCCTTCGGTGCAGGTCATGGTCTCAGGGTCTGGGATCGAGCCCTGCATCGGGCTCTCTGCTCAGCAGGGAACCTGCTTCCCTTCCTCTCTCTCTCTGCCTGACTCTGCCTACTTGTGATCTCGGTCTGTCAAATGAATAAATAAAATCTTTAAAAAATATATACCTTAATGATACCTTAATAATACCCAATTTCTGGGGCATGTAGGTGGCTCAGTCAGTTAAGTGTTTGCCTTCTGCTTGGGTCATGACCCTGGGGCTCCCTGCTCACTGGGGAGTCTGCTTCTCCCTCTCTTTCTGCTCCTCTCCATGCTCTTGGTCTCTCTAATGCACACACTCTCTCTCAAATAAGTAAATAAAATCTTTAAAAAATACACTCAAGCTGGCCACAGGGACAAGAGCATATGTATCTTCGTTAGAGGTGTGTGGAGCTCAAGTCCTTTCGTGATGAGGAGGCTACTATCTGCCAGAGCACAAACCTTCCTTGAACTTAGTCACAGTTAAGCCTCCACCCCCAGACTGAGCTTTCCCACAGTCTTATTAACTACGTCTTGGTGAAATGTTGTAACGCTTTCCCTGGGTCTGGTTAGGTGTCCTTTCAGTCGAAAGTGGCCTATAGGAGCAACATGTGGCTCCCTTCTTGTTCCTTCCTCACAGCACAGAGTTCAGAACTTTTCTTCTAAGGGAGACATTCAGTCATGAGGCAGCAAACATAAGAATGCCTAGTCATATAATGGCATTCAGTAAACGTTTCCATAATTAATGATTCTCCCTAATTCTATGATTCTCCCTAATTAATGATTCTCCCTAAATTCTATGTAAAAATAAAAACAAAAACAAAATCAGGAATGCTGAGGTTAGACTTTTCACCTCCACTTAAATTGAGTCTTCTGTTGTTTTGCAGAATAGATACGTTGGATATTTTGCAGATGTGAAAAATATCTACAACATGACTCTCCCTCCAAGAAAAACACTCAAGATTAAAAATATCATTATTCATTCAATTCATGGTAAGTGATTTATGTGTCATTGACGAGTTGGCCAGGAGGGCAATGTTCTGACTCTTGAGTCATGGGATGGTTGCTCCCATGTGTGTACCAACAATCCCAACTCATGGCTGTCCTTTTATGCATCCTCACGTGTAACCCCTCCCAGTGGAAGAGCCCAGAAGCCCTTAGATGTCCTCTCTTCACCAGTTTGTAGGGGCTCCATCCCCTTCTGTCTTCTATTCTCACTGCTGCCTTGGCTTCAGCCCAGGGTGGGCTTTTAAGAATAGAACCTCTGATGGAGAAGAGCGGAAGGGCTCATGAGCCCTGGAGACCACCTCTCCCTCATGTCCACCTCTAGTTCAGGGTTCATCTGGCAGCCCTGTATCATTTGCTCACATGAGCCTTTCAGAAACCTTCTTTCCCTCTCATCATCCTGGTCTCTCCCTCTCCCCTCCCTTCTGCACCCTTAGTCCCCTCATACCCAGCAACTCGAGATGTCTTGATATGTCTTAAATACACAAAGGTGGGGCGCCTGTGTGGCTCAGTGGGTTAAGCCACTGCCTTAGGCTCAGGTCATGATCTCAGGGTCCTGGGATCAAGTCCTGCATTGGGCTCTCTGCTCAGCAGGGAGCCTGCTTCCCTCTCTCTCTCTCTCTCTCTCTCTCTGCCTGCCTTTCCATCTACTTGTGATCTCTCTCTGTCAAATAAATAAAATCTTTAAAAAAAATACACAAAGGTGTCTTCAATACCCAAACAACAAATGAAATTTGTTGCCACAAATTCTCTTTAGAAATAACTACCAAGTGCCTGCTTTGGGCAAGCCCCCTGCTAGTGTTTCTCTGCCCTCAAGAAGGAGAGGAATGAGTGCGCATGGATATAAAGAGCTGACCACAGTGTTGGGGTAAACACAGACTGGACCCTGCCAGCTGAGGGTCAAGGTCAAGGATAGCTTCCTAAGGAGCACCACCCAGGTCTTCCTTACTGGAATCTACGTAAACACAGAAAGGGGGTTGGGAGAAACCTGAGCTCGGGGCGGTGGCGGGGGCGGGGGGCGTCTTTCAGCCTCCTAGCTTCTATTAGTTATTACCAGGGGTAAAAATCCTGATCAATTTTAAAAGAACTGACTGTTCTCCTGCTTCAAGAATGTCAGGAGAGAGACTGGGATCTGCCATCATGCAGGGAGGCAGGAAAATTAGATCTTCCATCTCTGGGACTTAAGAAATGAAGGGGAAGGGGAGGGGGAGAACCATCCTCAAGTCTTTAATTCTCCATCAACCACCCCACTTCCTGCACAGCTCACAGGGGATGTGGCAGAACAGGGCCACCTCAGTGGGGGTGGGCTGGGGCTTCACTCTCATTGCCCAAGGTGCAGCAGGGAGCGATGCTCTGACTCCCCAAAGTTAAACCATGGTCTGTGCAGAGGTGCTGGGTCCCTCATGAGTAGTATGGTGCCAGAGCACTGGTATCCATCCCAACAGGCTTATATTTTTAGCCCTCTGGGGAGTCCCAAAAAATAAGAGCTAGATATATATATGTTTTAACATTTCATCCAATTATTCAGAAATAAAAGAATCCTTTAAATAAATATATAAACTGCATAGTAAAAAAAATTACAGTTAAAGTATAAAATGCTTTTTTCAAATTATTTCTATATCCCTTCCTCCCCACCACACACACAGAGGTGGTGGTGAGGACTTTTAATGGATTACCACAATTGGATTGCATCGGTTTCTGGCTTGTGAAAACAAATGTCAACCCAGGAGCATTGTTTCTGTGGGAAATTTTGTCTAGGTTTCCAAACAAGCATTGTGCAGGCAGACCCTTGAAACACGGCCCATTCGGGCAGAAGGCTGCGTGTGTATAAAAATTAGCAACTGTTGGTGAAAAGGCTTTGTAGACTGCAAAGTCCTCTAGAGAGTCCATTATGACCATTTCCTTGGCTGTGTGTGAATTAGGAGGGAGAGGGTTGTCGTGGGTCCTAATGGCTGACCTCACTCAGAATTCCAGGTGTTGCCATACCTCCCCAGGCAGAGCCAGGCTTGTCCAACAGGTGTCAGATGGTAGGGGACAGCAATGTCTTGCTCTGTTCCCTTCCCACGTTTAGTGGGGTCCTGTAAAAAGAGTCGACCACTTTATTCTAGACCAGGAAAAGCAACATGGTTAGCCACTGGAGCAGTTTCTCCCACCGAGAAATATAAACGCAACCATAAAACCAACTCAGTGGTAGGAGAGCCAGAATTGCATCTGAGTGTATACCCTGCTTCAGTTTCTTCTTTGTTACCAATGGGACCAATGGTATCTATACAGACCCCCATGAGTATTAACTGTTCCAGACAGACAAATAGGCATTTGGTCCAGTGGAATTTCAATGTATTTTTCTAACATGAATAGTGAGAATGGGAATTGTTTCTCAAAATTCTAAGCTTAAAAAAGTTTTTAATAAGTTCTAGAATTTCATATGTTTCTCAGTCTGATGTTTTACCCTAAGACTGTGACTTCTCTGCTAATATTTTAAATTTTATATAAACTGCAGAAACATTGTTTAGTTAAAACTGGAAGGTACAGAAATGGAGAACAGAGGAGCTAACCCAAATGGATAAGTACTACAGGGGAAAACTGGGAGAGGGTTTCATGGGTTTGGTTTGCTAGTCTCAGGCTAACAAATAGATTCTAAAAGTCCAGTTTGAGATGCCTCATGGAGACTTCCAGACAAAGTTGTAATCTTAGCAGCTGTTCAGTACCATGTGGGTCCAGACTTCAGAGCCAACTTAAGAAGGGCTACATGGTAAGTTACCAGTCTTTCTGCACCCATGTAAATAATCAGGCCAAAGCTAATGACACCAGCATTTTTCTTTATATATATATATATTTTACTTATTATCCTCTTATCGCATTGTTAGCTTGCCCAACAAACTGTACCCTTTAGGCTAAGAAGTTCTGTTAGCCTTTGGGGTTGGACACTCTTGGTGCCCCATAAAGATCCCATTGGATCCCTTCCACCAGCTCTGTGTTCCCACCCCCCAGCCTCCACCCCCTTTACTCTAATCCTTGGAGAATTACTACTGGAGCCAACTCATTTATTTAGAGCCCCAAATCCCTGAGAGTGTCACCACCCTGTTGGGCAGCCCATACACAATGACTAGCAGCTGTACAAAAACTCAACTCCTTTGCTCCAAAGTGTGACAAACTCTGCAGTATAATTTACACCAAAGAATTCCCCATGGATCAAGCTGAATCTGCTGAATCCCACCCTTCCTTGGCTCTTATGAAGAAATTCCTCCTAGGAGCACTTCCTTCATAAATCACTAGTACCCGGAGTATTGGTTTAGGGTCCACTTCTGGGAGAACTCAACCTGTGATCATCCATTTACTTATACTGAGGTGTAGTATTTATAACACTGTATTTACTTGGTTTCTGTCAGGTGATATACTGTGTTGCAAATTGCATGAGGACAGAGACCATTATTCATTCGTCTTTGAATCTCCCAGATTATGACACACAGTTGGAGCTCAGTAGATCTCTGTGAAGTTGACTTGAACGAAAATGTCTCTGGCATGTTTCATCACATCTGTCAAGACCCCCTCATCCACTTCTCTGATTTTGTTCCCCACCTCTCTATCCATCCATAAATCAGCTCTAGCAACAGTGGCTTTCTTCCTCTTTTTTTGTTGTTGTTGTTGTCACTCTTTTATAGTAATGATTCTTGGACTTCCACACGTTGTATCTCCTTTACTTTTATAAACATTTTCTCTATTGAAATATACTTGACACAAAATATTACATTCATTTTAGGGGTGCCTGAGTGGCTCAGTTGGTTAAGCCTCTGTCGTTGGCTCAGGTCATGATCTCAGGGTCCTGGGATGGAGCCCCACATCTGGCTCTTGGCTTAGCAGAGAACATGCTTCCCCCTCTCTCTCTGCCTGCCTCTCTGCCTACTTGTGATCTCTGTCTGTCAAATAAATAAATAAAATCTTTTTAAAAAATGTTACATTCATTTTAGATACATAAACTAGTGATTCGACAAGTCTATACATTATGTTATGCTCACAAGTGTAGCTACCATCCCTCACCATACAACACTATTAGAGTGTCACTCACTATGTTTCCTATGCTGTACCTTTTATCCCCCAAGACTTACTCATTCCATGACTGGAAGCCTAGATCTCCCACTCTCCTTCACCTGTTTTGTGCCTCTCCCCACCTGCCTCCCCTCTGGCAACCATCAAGTTTTTTTTCTGTATTTACAGGTCTGGTTCTACTTTTTGTCTGTTCGTTCATTTTTGTTTGTTTTATTTTTTAGATTCCACATATAAGCAAAACTACTTTTTGTATTTGTCCTTTCCTGGTCTGGCTTATTTCACTTAGCATAATACCCTGTAGGTCCATCCATGTTGTCACAAGTGGCAAAATCTCATTCTTTTTATGGGCGAATAATATTCCACTCTATGTATACATACACACCACCTCTTTGTTCATCTATCAATGGACACTTGAGTACTTCCACGTCTTGGCTATTGTAAGTAATGCTGCAGTAGACGTAGAGGTGCAAGTACTGTGGGCAATACTATAGAGTTTCCTCACGAAATTAAAAGTAGAATTACCATATGACCCAGTAATTCCACTACTGGGTATTTACCCAATGAATATGGAAACACTAATTTCAAAAGCTATATATACCCTTTATGTTTATTGCAGCATTATTTACAATAGCCAGTATATGGAAGCAACTCAAGTGTCCACCAATGGATAAATGCATAAAGAGAAGGTGCATATACACATATGTATAATGGAATATTAGTCATAAAAAAAGAATGAAATCTTGTCTTTTGAACAACATGAATGGACCTAGAGGGTATATTGTTAAATGCATAAGTCAATCAGAGAAAGACAAGTACCATATGATTTCATTCACATATGTAATTTAAGAAACAACAAAGAAAAAGACAAAAAACTAGAGTCTTAAATACAGAGAACAAACTAGTTGCCAGAAGGTAAGTGGGGTAGGGGATTGGTGAAATAGATAAAGATGATTAATAGTATACTGACCTTGATTGTATAGAATTGTTGAATCCTTATAGTGTACACCTGAAACTAATACAGCACTTACATTATTTATGCTCAAGTAACTGGTCCTCAAAACCTATTAAGCCCCAATAGTTTTCAAAGCCAAATGTTAAGGAGACTTGTCTTCTCAGCGCAGGTCTCCTGTGCCTGCTCTGTGGTCTGAGCCTCTTGCTTCTCCATGCTTCGGGTTCCCTCCTCTTCATGGATAGTCTTACCGGGGAGTTGGTTCTCAACTGTGTCTTCGCCTCACCTACCTTTTCGATGTGGCCTCCTCTCTACTGAGGAAAGTCTGTTCTGCCAGTCTTTGGGTCCTTTTCAGAGTTTGTTGCACTTGATGTGGCTGTTATCTTGGTGTGTGTGTAGGGGACAAGGTTAGCACAGGATCCTCCTACTCTGCCATCTTCCCAGCAACAAAAAAAACAACCATCATATAACTTTTATCCTCCTCTTGCTAATGTGGTGTACCATGTTGACTGATTTGAAAATATTGAACCATGCTTGCATTCCCAAAATAAATCCCACTGATCGTGGCAAACGATCTTTTTATTGTTGAATGTACTTTGCTAATATTTTGTTGAGGATTTTTATATCTATCTAAGTTCATGGGGAATATTGGCCTGTAGTTTTATTTATTTGTTTGTTGTTTCTTTAATTGTAACTTTAGTCTGGTCTTGGTATGGGTAATGCTGACCTTATAGAATATATTTGGAAGTTTTCCTTCACCTTCTATTTTTTGGGATAGTTTCAGGAGAATAGGTATTAACTCTTCCTTAAACGTGTAGCAGAATTCACCTGTGATTCTATCTGGTCCTGAGCTTTAGTTTGTTGGGAGTTATTTGATGACTGATTCAGTTTCATTACTAGTAATTGGTCTGTTCAGATTTCCTATTTCTTTGTGACTCAGTATTAGAGACACCAGCCTTCTTTTGGAGTAAGAATAATTTTCCTTTGAGATTGTTAAGATCAAAACAGAAGGGGGATGGGGAGACTGTCAGAAAAAAGTGTGAAAGAATTTGCAGTGAGCAGTATTTTGACTTGTGCACCATTCTGGGATTATTTCTACCTCTCATGGTCTTTAAGCTCTTTATAACTCTAAGTTGTAGAAAAGTAATAGTACTGTAAATAACTTTTGTATGTAAAAATACAAATCAGTTGTATCTAGTGGAAAGCAATTGATTATTAAACCATTTTTTAGGATTTTATGTATTTATTTATTTGGGAGAGAAAGAATGAGAGAGAGAGAGAGAGCATGAGAGGGGGAAGGTCAGAGGGAGAAGCAGACTCCCCGCTGAGCAGGGAGCCCGAAGCAGTACTCAATCCCTGGACTCCGGGATCATGACCTGAACCAAAGGCAGTCACTTAACCAACTGAGCCACCCAGGCGACGGATTAGGCCATTTTGTATCTGTTTATAAACTCATGTCATCAATCTTTATTTCCCTATAGATGCGCAATATTTTTTTAATTGAAGTATAACATATGTTAGTTTATATTAGCTCCAGGTGTACAATATAATGATTCAGTAATTTTATACATTACTCAGTGTTCATCAAGATAAGTATATTATCATCAAGATAAGTATACTCTCATGGGTCACCTGGGTGACTCAGTCTGCTAAGTGCCTGCCTTTGGCTCAGGTCGTGATCCCAAAGTCCTGGGATAGAGCCCTGTGTCAGGTTCCCTGCTCAGCGGGGAGCCTACTTCTCCGTCTGCCTCTCCCTTGCTCATGCTTTTTTTCTCTGTCTCTCTCAAATCAATAAATAAAATCTTAAAAAAGAATTTATGGACATTGAGGAGGGTATGTGCTATGGCGAGTGCTGTGAATCGTGTAAGACTGATAATTCACATACCTGTGCCCCTGAAACAAATAATACATTATATGTTAACTTTAAAAATGATAAGCGTACTCTTTATTCCCCTTTATTTCACGCATCCCCCTACCCACCTCCCTTATGGCAGCCATCAGTTTGTTCTCTGTATTGAAGAGTCTTATTTTTTGTCTCCCTTTTTCCTTTCATTTATATTTTTAAATTCCACATGAGTGAAATATATTTGTTTCTCTGTTTCACTTAGCATCCCTATAGGTCCATCCACACTGTTGCAAATGGCAAGATTTCATTTTTTTTTAATTACAGCTGAGCAACATTCCATTGTGTGTCTGTATACCTGTATAAATACATCTTCACTACATTTTCCTTACCTATTCGTCTATCAGCACACACTTGGGTTGCCTCCATGTACTGGCTATTGCAAATAATGCTGCAATAAACATAAGGGTGTATATAGCTCTTCAAATTGGTGCTTAATATTCTTTGGGTAAATACCTAGTAGAAAAATTACTGGATTATCCAGTAATTCTCTTTCTAATTTTGTGAGGAAACTCCACACTGTTTTCCACAGTGGCTTATAGTTTACTTTGAATCAGCTGTAACATTTTACTGATTTTTTATTGATTGATGAGTCAAATAAGATTTTTGACATGTATTTAAAAAATGCAAGGCACAGGACAGTGCTGTGGTATGCAATAATTCCTGTAACACAGAAGTGGGGAATAATATGTATTCATATTTGTGCGTGCGTACATATATAAAAATACTCTGGGAGAGTATTCATATTTGATTATATGTTCCTAAAAATATTCTCCATTTGGAGCTGGACAAATAAACAGGTGGGAGTAGTGAGCCAGACTCTTCACCTCATGTCTTTTTTTTTACCTTTTATATTATAGTAATATGCTTTATTTTAAAAGGTTTAAATGTGTGGGAATTAAGCTTGTAAATCAGTGCCCTTTCCTGTCATGTGTAAGTATTTGAATTAATTTAGTTCTACATTTTCACTAATTTCTGGTGAACATCAGTTCTGCAAAGGAGTTCTGCAACTGGAATGGGATGGGATGGGATGGGATGGAGGAAGTAAGGCTCAGACATGATGATGCTTAATGCAAATTAATAATGTGTTCATACGATGCAAATACAATCTGAACATCAAGAATGATTAACAGGGGCACCTGGGTGGCTCAGTGGGTTAAAGCCTCTGCCTTTGGCTCAGGTCATGGGCCCAGGGTCCTGGGATCAAGCCCCTCATCGGGCTCTCTGCTCAGCGGGAAGCCTGCTTCCTCCTCTCTCTCTCTTCCTGCCTCTCCACCTACTTGAGATCTCTGTCTGTCAAATAAATAAATAAAATCTTAAAAAAAAAAAAGAATGATTAACATATGACTCTGTTAGAATATTTTTTAGTTCTGTACCTTTACTTCTATGCATATTTGTGACATTCCTGGTTAAAAGAAAAGCAGGTAGAATTAATTGAAGGCTTGAGAAACCAGCCTTTAAGAACTACTAAAAAAGGGGGTCATCTGAATCGAATAGAGAGCAAGAAACCATTTGTCTATAGATGTATCGTCAATGCCACTGGAATGTTTGGAGGCAGCTAATATCTAACTCCTGATGAGGGTCAAAGGAAATTAGACTGTTTGAGACCCTTGTCAGATGTCTGAAGCAAGCAACACATTAGCAGCAAAGGTGGCAAGTTACCTGATTTTTTTCTAGAAAGGTGAAGAGATGAAATTCTGTCTTAGAAGCTAAACTATATGTCTTCTTTTTCCCCTCCAGCCTTATAAATTGTGCTTTAGGAGACAAAGTTGGGCTTAAAGCTTTGTCTTTTATAGACGGAATCCAAGCAAGACCCAAATGATTCACTACTGACACACTGTTAGCTGTCATGATTTTCTCTTTAATCCATAATGTTAATCGGTGAGACATTTTGCTCTTTGTTCGAATGAGCCTAACTTTATTTCCTTCAGGTGTTGGAAAAGGCAATGGGAGTGATCTAGAAATACAAATAACGATGCAGAGCCAGATCATCTTTTTCTCTTCTGCTTCCAAAAACTGTCGGGTAAGAGATAGCATGCAAACTGGAAATTCCGGTGTTTGTTTCAAATCTCAATGTCAAACCAGCATGTTAAGTGCTAGCAGTGTCCCAAGTGACTCTACCTCCGATGTCCTATGGGACTGCACTGTGAGAAGTAACGCAAGAGTGGTCGGAAGGGGACATATATACCTCTTTCCCCTGAGCGATGGGACCTGGTAGTCTGTTTTCTTAAATGTTGAAGTGCCTTGGACCACCCTAAAGCAACAAGAAGCTTTCCCGGGTCTTAAGAAATACAAACCCTCAAAATTCTCTCTCCAGGTTTGTGTCTCTTCTCCTATTACTTCACCACCACCACTCCTTCCCCTTTGTGCCACAGAAGGCGCGCACCCAGACCTGATCCTTGACTTCTGTTCTCATCTCTGCACACACTCTACTCTTGGTTCTGCTCATCCATTCCCCTGCTGTAAGCTATTTTCTTTTCTCTTCCATCCGCTCTGCACAGGCTTATGAGTACCCCCCACGTGGTAGGTGCAGGACACCTACCTAGACAGCTTCTGCCCCGACGACGGAACTGTGTGTGTCAATCCAGGTTTGTCAGATGAGCTTTTCCTCCGCTTCTGCAAGTGACACCAGAATCCTCTCACTGACGCCTCACGATGTAGAAGCCTTGAGTCTCTCCTGGCCGTGCCCCCACATCCAGTCACCACTTGCTATTGATTTTACCTTTGGAATCTCTCCTCACTCTCCGTTCCTTTCTGTTCCCATCGTCACGGCCCAGTCCAGCACCTCATTTGCTCCTGCCTGGATTTCTACCGTGGTCTCCCTACCTCTCCCTTCTCTTCATGCTATACAGTGTCGAGAGACCGGCAATATGCAAGTATTTCTCTGCTCCTACTTGAAAAGCAGTAAGTAGAGCAGAAAAAGAATGCACTCTGTGCCTGTAGGCAAAGCCAGTCAGTATCTTTGGCTCAGTATATCTGCAAAATAAAGATCACATCTCCAGGGTTGTGAGGATTAGGTTAGATAATATATGTGAAGTTGCTTTGTGAGCTATAATCACTAACTGTTATAAGTGATAACTGTCAGGCCACTTTGTCACATAGGAATTGCCCCGCCCCCATGCTTCCACAATTTTTCTTATTTCCTGACCCTTGAACCTTTAAGACATTTCCCTATCCTACCTGAGACCTGAGCTTATTTCCATCAGTAACTTGACCTGCAGACTCCATCCCAAGTAGACGGGGTGCCTTCTGGCCCTTGGGACACAACACTCTCATTTCTGTTTCACGTGTTCGATGCCTTTCCTCTCCCTCCCCCACACCACCCAGTCTGCACAGCATTCTCTTTCAGTGCTCCTCGTGTGTACAAATCCTTCCACACACAACTCCTTTTCTGCTCCTCGGTGAAACTTTCTTATTCTATGCTTCTCATTAAGCTCCCCAAAACACACAACCACACCGTCTTCATTATCCAGCTTGACATGTAATTCTTGCCATTCTACCATTGTTTCTTATGTCTGTAGCTCCCTGAAGCATCCCCTGAGTCTGCACCTTCTTTGGTATTTCGCACAGACTCTCCTTAGTGTGGGTACCACGATTATGCAAGGGCCAATCAGTAACAAAGAAATACTCAGTGTAGCCCCGAAGTCCTTCATTCCAGAAACGTGGCCAATCTTTGGTTACTCCATCCAGTAGTTGACTATGGACAAGGCCTATGATACCATCAGCAAACACCTTTTTAATAAAACATGACCAATCACATATTGTTTTTTGAATGTGAATGCCAGCTTTAAATCAGAGCTTCTTAGTGTGTCCAGGCATCTGCAAATCAAATAACACACGTTCAACAGTGACATTTAAATTCTGATGGAAAACGGAGTATTTCACTTTTCAGCAGTGCAGTACCACACCCTCCAAACAGGTTGGCCTTTTAAAAATGTAAACAGTATTGCAACTTAATAGAAATAATGATTCACATTTATTTCTATGTGTGACAACTGCACTCTGAGACCAAGTGTACTTGATAAATGCAGGAAGCCGCGATAAGCAAACTGAACTTCACCGTTTATCCACCATTAGCTAGGGTTACGGTTCTGAGTTCCGTGTGATCATTCACAGATGCTTCATGATGCTGAAACAGACAGCGTGACAATCCATCTGTCCAACTGCCCACCTCTGTATGACGACGTGAAAGTGCAGTTTTTCTCTTCTTCNGTATGACGACGTGAAAGTGCAGTTTTTCTCTTCTTCCGTGAGTCATCAGAACCAACCTATGCCAGTATTCTCGTCTGGCCTTTCGAATGACTGATTTAGGCTTTCCTTTACTACAATTCCTGGCAAGGAAAAGGATAAGAGAGGTCAACCCCTCGTCAGGGAGGGGGAGAAAAACAAGGCTGGTCTATAACAAAATTTTTAAAAAGAACATGAGATTTTTGCTCATTTTTTAAAAAGATTTTATTTATTTGACAGAGATCACAAGTAGGCGGGGGGGGGGGCGGGGAGCAGGCATCCTGCTGAGCAGGGAGCCCAATGTGGGGCTCAATCCCAGGACCCTGGGATCATGACCTGAGCCGAAGGCAGAGGCTTTAACCCACTGAGCCACCCAGGTGCCCCTTATATAGTATTTTTAATCTAATATTTACCTTATGAAAAATGAGAATGTTTGCCTTTGTCATTACTCTGAACATGAGTGTGTAACTTCTGCTGAGAAGTCACTAAGTGTACAAGTGTTACTCTTTACATAACAAATTTCTAAGCCTCAGTAGTTTTGTTTTCCTATTAAAATCATCAAGCAGAACTGCCAACAACTAATAATGTTGATCAAGTTAAAGTTTGTGCCCTCCTTCACCCCCTGCTTGCTCCCTGTTACGGGAGAATCTGTTCGATAGTGAAATGGTATGTGTGTGGAAGCAAGTGACCTTGATTGTTCCCATACCAGACAGCTACCCTTTGATCCCTGAAGCCAGTCTGAACACTCACTCAGTCAGTGGTCCTAAGCAGGAGCTCCACTACAAGAAGTACTGGCCTGGGCCGTGTTGCTTAATTTTGTGATTTTCAAGGGCCATGAGATGAAAACTCTCTCATGTGTGGGTATTCTTATCATTAATACTGACAGTCAATTATCAATGTAGCTGCTCCTTGTAGAAATGGATGAGGTCTTTGGACATAAACTGGCATCGGTCTCTGGTCAGCACGATGTAAACTAGGTTGGAGGACTATTGTCTAATTTATATAGAAAAAACTACATTTCCTTAAATTTTGATAGGAATGGCAAAAAAAAAAAGCCATTTCTTAAAGTCTCCTTTGTGTTGTGAGCAGAAGGTTATAGACTGTTAAGTGTTGTGTGTGTAATGGCTCTAATTGTTCGATATAGATAGAAAGGAAGGAACTTTAATCCCTTTGGAATTAGTTTTTAGTATCATTTTTACTATGAAAATTAACTTTTTTTAATTCTAGGATCTTCCTAAATACTATGACAACTGCCCATTTTTTCTTTTGGTTCCATCTTTTGTACAAAATAACAGGCATGGCTCTGATATAATCCAGTAGAAATGGCTTAATCTCCAAGATCTGTGTAAGGCAGAATNAATCCAGTAGAAATGGCTTAATCTCCAAGATCTGTGTAAGGCAGAATGGCACTCCTACCCTCAATTTATAGAAACCAAGAAATCCTCAAGTCCCCCATTCTTCATTATGTAAAATATAGGGCTATTCTTGAGAACCACTGTGGCATTATCCTCAAAGTTCATGCCATAGGACTGTGTCATAGGAGCGGAGATGTGTTCTAATCAGATCTAGGGTGTGGTGATAAATCCCTCCCCTTGCTAATAGAGGAGTCTGCTCAGTTACGCTGACTAGGGCAGGTCCACCGTGTGTGTTCATCTACTGATGACCGACCACCTACCACATTCTAGGCCAGAAAGGAAAGCATCCTCGAGGAAGGCTTTAGCTAGTTTCAAGGTGACTGACACACCTAGATCTAGGGCAGAAGTTAGAGGAAAAAGTAAGCAACAGTGAAAAAAACTTTAAAAAAAAAAAAAAATCAATAGTCTCCCATTTAAAAGTGACTTTCTAGTGACTACACTGGGAAATCTTTTTTTAAAAATTAACTGAAGATTATTATTCCGGGAAACTTCTTCCCTATCTGGAAATTCGTTCCTGAGTCTGGAAGTTCTCTAGAATTCTAGTTCTCTAGTACCTGAAGGAGGACTGAGTTAGTGGGAACAGTAGAAATAGCCGCTGAGGACTATGGGTCTTGCTTGCGGGGGATGAGCGCGCTCTCACAGACTGCAGGGAAAAGGGTATCGGGTGTCAGCAATAAAAACACAGCTCTGTCGGAGCCACACTGCTTATTTAGGCTTCGGTGTCCATGAGGGAGTTCCTTGGGACGGTGGGCAGCTGCAAGCTATGGATACCGCGGTTCGCGGAGATGGCGCGACCTCTCTACGAACTGCCTAAGGGAGGACTCACTATGGTAGAGTGGACAGCTGGGGCAGAAGGAGCATTTCGGGAATCACAAACAGCCTTACTGAGTGCCCCAACATTGGCCATCCCAGATGTTCCCAAGCCCTTCCACTTGTATGTGCCAACTGAGGCACAGGAGAGAGACTAAGACTAACCCTGGTTGGCCTTCTGTGCTTGAAACATGTTTCTTCTTTCCTAGGCTTTTCCTTCCACGAGATCAACTGGATAATCCCCATAAAAAGAAAACATGGAAAATTTATCATCAGGAGTTTGCAGTCGAGCTATATTTTGATGAAGTCTGATACCGATCTAGTATAGTCCCCACAATAGATAGAATCATGTTCTCCACAATCCCTGCCACACATTTAGGTCTCCTAACCCTCCTTCCTTGCAGGTATATTTATATTTACATTTACATACGTATATTTTTGACAAACCTTAAGTATATACAAAGTAAAAAGTTAGTGGTGCTTTTTCTTTCCTGAAGGAGGTATGCCAGGGTTGAGAGAACTACTGTTTCTGGGGACTGTGTGCCAAACTTAAGAGTTTGAAAAGAACTTTCATATCAAAATAACATTTAAAATGATTCCTCACAATACTGCGTGAGGTTCATTATGTATTTTGGGGCAAGTAGTCCCTGCTTTCACAGTTGTAACGTCAGATTAAAAAGGTCATTTCTAAGCTATTTAACAAACCTCCGATTGGCACCAGAACAAGGTTTGAGCCCATAGGACTGTTCCTATAGGCAGTCCCCGCAGAGCTTGTGATACAATCTTCGATCACACATGCCAGTCCTTGGAGGACAAGAGAATCAGGGTAAACACAGGCAGACGTTACAGTAGATTCTTTCTCTTTGTCACATCACCGTGAAGTCAAAGGAAATGTCTGCCTAGAGAAATCTAGATTATTTTAAAATACACCCCCTGACACAGGCTCTCCTCCCAGCCAACTTCATTTAAATTTAGGGAACTCTGTGAAGATCATCTTTTCACTATAAACACTGGTTAGTCCAGTGTCCACAGGGAATTCTATTCTCTTCATTGCTGGATGCTGTTTTATTCTAAGTCTCATTATTTATATGTTTTATTTATATGTCATTATTTATATGTTTATATATTTATATGTTATATAAATAAAATGTCCTTATTTATGAACATGCCTGGATGCAGGTGCTCTTTTTCCCTCCAAATAGCCCTCAAAGGGTCTCAGCTACCAGTGCAATAGCCCATCTAAAGTCTTTTTAGGAAAAGCTCTGACTACATTACTTGCTATAATTCGTGCTACAGAGACACATGTTGCCGCTGAACAGTTTGTACTGTTCCCTTGAACGTGCATGCAGCCGTAAGCCAGAGGGGCAGACCCGGTGGCAGGCTTAGGTAAATGGACAGGGGGCGGGGGGGGGGTGCGTAGAGACCTAGCTGGCACTAAGGAAGAAAACCCCAATTTTCAAGACTTGCTTTTTGAAAGAAGATTATAGTTAGGGTTTCTCTTCCCTAACCCTCCAAGATGCATCCAAATTCCTGGCCCCTGAGTTGCTACACTCTTGTGCTTTTGCTCACATAAAGAGAATTTATGGGCTTGCCTCCTTACAACCGGACATAAATACTTCCTTGAACAACTCGAGAATCTTACATCATGGTACCTCAGAATGATACTGGTTTTTTCAAATAGATCTCACTACCCTGGAATAGAATTATCCAAAACGAAACAGGAAATTTAGCTATTTTTAAAAAATAGAACAGTTTCCTCTACATCAACCCCATCCACACAACCAGGCAGAAGAAGAATGCTGCTGGTGGGCCAACCTGCACAACTGCAGTATATAGAAAGAGCAGCTGCTCACTGCCCCGACCCTCTGGCTTCTGGCACGAGGCTAGAGTTAGCACAGAGCCTCTGCAGAGAACAAAAAGCTTCAGGAGACCAGAGGTTTCACTCGAGGGGTACACTGTGCCAACAAGGACAGACACACCCGGGACAGATGTTAGCAGCGTCAGCCTGCTTAAGAACACTTGTTTCTGAGAGAGCCCTTGCTGGTCTTGGAGCAGCAC